GTGAGCAAACGTGGAATGACTGTTTGCGCCCTAAAAACTACCTAGTCTGCAAGTTGACATCTTGTAGATTTTTTTTTTGACGTTTTATAGGTTTTTTACATGGTACCCGTGCGGTTCAAACGTGCAAGTTTAGCCAACGTAGAGAAATTAAATATTCCCTGTCGGATTCCTAACCTATAATTTTGGTTCTGGTTTTTTACCTCTCGGAATACTTAGCTTTAATATACAAAAACTGGTTTCAATAGACATCCATCCAACATCAAAGCACAAGCACGGACTGGCCTAGGGACAATTTGCATGCATTTGTAACTTGTAAGTAATCCATCTGATGGATTTTCACGCAACACCCCAGCAGTTCCAAGAAAATGAAAGGTGAAGAATCAGCTGTTTTTTAGTGCGGATGCGTCTGATCAACGCGTCGTTTGCTCTTGTTGATTTTAAAACGGGTATTACGTAAAGACTACCTCCACTACTGTTCATCTTGACACCTCAATAAATAAAGATATCCAAAAACTAGAAATAGATCTTTCGTTCGTCCAACCTTAGGCCGTTTATACACACACCGGCAAAACCGGGTATTACATAAAGACTTCCTCTGCTACTGTTCATCTTGACACCTCGATAAATAGAAATATCCAAAAACTAGAAATAGATCTTTCGTTCGTCCAATCTTACGCCGTTTATACACACACCGGCAAAACCGGGTCCGGTAACGAATCCGACACCGAATGCAATACTATTCGTCATTATTCGTCAGAGCGGTCCGGTGGACCTTTGCTCTTAGTTAAAAGTCTCGTCGGTCTGTTAGTCTGTCAGGTCTGGCTACCTAGATACCAAACATGTTTAAGGAGAAAAGGGAAATAAGGAAAGAACGGAAAGAAGAAATAGAGCAAAGAAAAGAAGTAAATCATTTGAAATAGCTTAAGCATTATTGCTTTGACTAGTACTCGAATTATTTTGTAACTCCAAAAAATAATTTTGATCGGTTTTGTATACTGAAATAATTTTGGCTGGTCTGAATTTACAATTTAATTTTGATCACAGTGCGAGGCGCGGCCTGGAATGTTTGCGAACTTGCTCGACTGTGTAGTCTACTGAATCACGTAACATAGGGTTGCTGTGCGATTCCGCTTGATTATAATGCCGCTGCGCCTGTTGTTTTACGTAATCCCTTAGATATGGGATATCAAGATCTCTGTGAATAGTCTCATTTGACACGTACCAAGGGGCGTTAGTAATTGTGCGTAGGGTTCTGTTTTGCAGGACTTGCAGTCTCTGCATGTGCGTCTTGGCAAGAAAACACCGCACATGCGTAGGTGATTGCGGGTCTTATGACCATTTTATACAACCGAATCTTGTTGATCAAACTTAATTTTGAATTTCTGCACAACAAAGGATAAAGCTGCCGAAAGGTAATTTGAAATTTTGTTTTCAAAATATCAGTATGTTTCTACCAGGTCAACCCCTTGTCAATGATGACTCCAAGATACCTGACAGATTGCTCCCATGGTATACGAGTTCCATTCACTGATATCTCTGAGGGGGCACCGCGACGTTTTTTAGTACAAAAGATTGCCTGCGTTTTCGAAGTATTAATTTTGATCAACCACCGATTCGCCCACTCCAGTACTTCCTCCACCGCACTCTGCAGCCTGTCGTGAACCAGGTTCCCAGAACAAGACTGGGCTAGCAACGCAGTGTCATCAGCATAGAGATAGACTTCTCAGTTGCTGGGGCAAGGGACGTCATGTATATAAAGTGAATAAAGGATTGGTCCTAAGACCGAACCCTTTGGAACACCGGCTCTTACGGGCCGTGTTGTTGACAACACGTTGTTAATTTTGATTCGAAACTTCCTTTCCACAGTTTTAGTAGCCAAAATGGAAAACCCTTTTGGGTGAGCTTATACAAGAGGCCCATGTGCCACACCTTGTCAAATGCCTTTGATACATCTAAAAGCAAGATACCAGTACTTTTGTTCAGGGTGAACCCCCTGGTTACATGCTCCACTAGTCTAACTGCCTGTAGTTCCGTACTATGCTCAGACCGAAATCCGAATTGCACATCAGGAATCACATGGTGATGTGACGAGAAATTCTCAAGGTGTCGATAAATCACCTTTTCAGCGAGCTTAGAAGAAGCTGATAGCAGACTAATGGGACGGTAATGGGGGAATATCGAACCTGCCTTCTTTGGGATCATGATGACTTCAGCGACCTTCCACGCCTTAGGAAAGTAATGAGTTCTGAGCATTGCATTGATTATTGCCACCAGATAAGTCAAAGCCTTGAGTGAAGGCAACTTCAGTGCTTTGTTGGTGATTTGATCCTTTCCAGGTGCTTTACGCACCTTTAGGTCCTTAATGTGGCCTTGGAGCTCTGCTGGTGTGCAAAACGGAATCTCAGAGGATTCCGTTGATGTGCTATGCTGAGAGTCATCTGAAGAGTCTTCCGTAGAAGAATCTTCTGAAAAGGAGTCACCGATGCTAGCACCGATGTTGGTATCGCCATTCGCTCTGAAGTATCTCCTGACAGATCTTACAATTTGTCGTTCCTCCTCAAGGTCATTGTCCAGATCATAATTGGGAGAGAACTGCCTTTCCATGACGTCAGCAAAAACCTCCACTTTATCCTCAGTCCTGAAAACTTTGCCTCCAGGACCATGAATATGTGGTAGTTGTTCTTGCCTTCCGTTTCTGACCGAGCTTGTGACTTTCCAGAGAGGAATACTTGATTCAAGCATCCCCTCCAGAAAGTCGCTCCACTGCTCATTGCGGAATTCATGGAGTGCATTTCTCACTTCATGGACGAAATTCGTCGCTCTACGAATGTCATCAGGATGACAAGACCCTTTTGCTTGCTTAATCGCAGCCCTCTTTTCAGAAATTTTCCGACGAATTTCAGCAGGGAGAAAAAGTCTGCCGTGTCGCTGCACCGGAAAGCACAGCAGCACGCTGTAGAGTTTGGTGAACGAAACTTGTGCACTCCGATTGAGCAGCATCAATTCCGTTCTCATCATGTATGACCGGGACGCTGGAAAACTCTTTGAGAAATGACTTGTATAGTTCCCAATCAACTCTTTTCCTTGGAGGAGTTTCCTCCTCCACGAAATGCCCATTACCTACCTCCAGAATAACAGGTAGATGGTCACTAGAGATGTCATACAAGATCCTAGAAGCAATACTGAACCTATAGTTTTTAGATATTGCAAAGTCTATAACGTCCGGTGCCTGAAGGTGATTGAAAGGATAGTGTGTCGGCTCTTCGGTGCTGTGAATAAGACACCCGTTTCGGATCACCTGGTTGTAAAGCCGAACCCCACAAGTAGAGTTAAGCCTTGAGTGCCATGATCGATGTTTGCAGTTGTAGTCCTCTGCCGCAATAAGAGGGCCTGAACAGTCCAGAAGGACTTCCAAGTCCTCCTCTCGCAGCCTGGCACCGCACCTGACATACACCGAGGTGATCTTCAACGGAATGCATCCCGCCATATTGACTACCACGGACGCCGCTGCAATGCTCTGCATCTCGGCGTTTGTGCTTTTGTGATAGTCAATACCAAGTTTAACGAGCACTGCCAAGCCATCACCCCTACCATTCAATCTGTCAACTCGTATAACATCATAATTCGAGAAAACTAAGCGATCTCGCGGATTAATGTTTCCTGCAGCAGAGTCTATACTCTCATCCAATAGAGTTTGATGATATTCTCGTTTTTTTGGGAATATCCCTTAGGCCCAAACAATTCCAAAAAGAATTTTGATAAATGCAGGTTGTCTATTGTACTTAGCCATTCAATGGCTGCGGAACGATCGCCTGCAATGTTTGAGTGGCGCTAATCAGAGGACTTATTATTTGTTGAAGGGACCGAAGCGCAGTTGCTAGGTCCACATTCTGCGTGTTCAAAGGGGGTTGAACAGAGGGGGCAGCCGAAGATGTTGAGATGGCTGCCTCCGCGTATGACTTGCTGCGTCTTTGCGCTATGACTTCCAGATTTCGCCTGGAGGTGAATCTGCAAGTGGGACTGTTAGCGGGATGCGCCCCTCCACAGTTCGCACACTTTCGTTCCTCTTGTCCTGTGAGGGGGCATAACTGTGTCATGTGGTCGGAAGCACATTTTAAACATTTGGGAGGTGCTGTGCAGTAAGACTGCGCATGACCATACTTTTGGCAGCGGTGACACTGCCCAATAGGTCTAGAGTTCTTTTGAACTTCAACTCTGATTGCTCTACCCAGCAGCTCGTGTTCATTTAACAGCTGCTGGGACTTTTCAATCTTGGGCAGTATCATGACCACCAAAGGCATGGGTGCATCTCCACTGCGTTTGAGTCGTATAATGTGGAGAGGAGTATATCCCCTGGGTTCTAATTCCCCTTTGATCTCCTGTTCCGAAAACATTGCGGGTATGCCTCTGACTACCGCGTGAATATTTCGTTCTGAAGGAAGAGGGAACGTATAATGGGGCATGTCCTCCTCCCTGAACAGGCGAACGATTCTTCGGTAGTCATCCTCAGTTTTCGGCAAAATCCTGATTCCCGCATCAACGGCAACTGCGCGTTCTATCTTAATGCCTGAGCTTATAAAGGTGTAGTTTAGCTGTCGCCACTTGGTCGTATCACGCAAAACAATGGGCGTGATTCGCCCCTGGCGGGGTGCTGTACTGGTCAACTCACCAGCAACGTGAGATTGTTGAGATGCACAGTCAGTCGATGCAGTGGCCGAAGATTGAGAAGATGTGGTCGCTGCATCGACCGTCATAGGACAAGTGGCAGAAGAAGTTGATACGTTTAATAAAGCAGAAGGTTTTGAGGGGACTGTCAACTTGAATTTTGATTTTGCTTTTGGAAGAGGTGGGAAGTCATCCGTCTTGTCGGTTTTGTTCGTTTTGTCGATGCGTCTTTTCCTAGACTTGACCTGGATGAATCCGTCATTCTGTATTTCATCGTCGGTCGATGTCACGTCAGTTAAATTTTCAAGAGGTCTTTTTAAATTGACAGCCTTGTCATATTTAGATTTAAAATTTGCATTATTGATTAACTGTGTTACCTGGGTGGTCAGGCAGTCTATTTTACTGTTTTGGTCCCTAACTGTCTGAGTCGGCTCCTTTATTTGCTGAGCCTGGCTTTCGATGATCAGGGTCTGGCGCTGGATGGTTATGTCCTTTTCGTCTGCTACAGCAGGTGTCATCAATTCCTTTGATTTCATGGTCTCAGTCAGCTCATTTATTTGCTGGGCCTGGCTTTCGATGATCAGGGTCTAGCGCTGGATGGTTCTGTCCTTTTCGTCTGCTACAGCTGGTGTCATCAATTCCTTTGATTTCGTGGTCTCAGTCAGCTCATTTATTTGCTGGGCCTGGCTTTCGATGATCAGGGTCTGGCGCTGGATGGTTCTATCCTTTTCGTCTGCTACAGCTGATATCATTAGTTCCTTTGATTTCATGGTATTTCTGTTCTCTCCTTCTGGCTGGGTCCATTCATCATCGAGAACGCTGGGGGATCATTACTTTGACCTCCAGAGTCTATCTCCATGTTTTTAAATCGGATTTTCTATTGAAAAACTTGAAAACTTTCACGAGCAAAAATATGACGTATTGTCAATTATCCCTTATACAGGGCGATACCGAATGCAATGTAATAAAATGAATATCACCTTGATCAAAAAGTTACCGGAATGGTCGCCGTGTGGCGCTCGTAGCACTCGGCTGTCAATTATGTTTGTCTTGGTATGGTGCCCAACTTTCACTGGTATTCCCCCCGAAGAAGGAAACATTTTCTCATTTTCTTTCCATAGTTGGTTTATTTATTTACGGTTGATATCTTTAAATAGGAAAATACAACTGTTCGGTGTTGCAAATTGCTTGGTTCAGATATCCGAAATAGATACATAAGCGATAGATAACTATCACCCGTAGCCAAATATCTTAATGTCACTAGTAATCTCATGCGGGGCGTTATTGCTTCTCGAAAGTTGGCATCAAATTTCGGATTAAAGCACCATCGTCAGCCACCAAGTTGTTGTACAACTTGTACTGAATTTCTTGACCATCTATATATTTCTTCTCCAATATTCAGGCGTTTCTTTTTCTTTTCCGATCCGAAGAAATTACTAAATAAGCAGCCGCCGCGACTGTCTGTAATGACATGACGTACTGAACTGGAGTTGCTTGAATTGAATCGTGAAGACACATGCTACACTCATGTACGACAAAGCGCATGCCACATAGGGAACAAAATCCGCATGCGGCATTAATAGAATTTTGCGCAACACTGTCGAATGTCAACAAGACGCAACACTAGGAAACAAGTAGCACGCCACATGTCGTTCATTGTTGCCTCAGTGTAATTGCGCCTTTACGTCGATAAAAATGTCCATATCCTTATACTACTACTATAATATACCGGATGTTTCAAATTCTATATTTGTATGCAAGATGTATGTATCGGTTTAGATATAGCAGATATGAAATGCTTTTAGGAAGCTACAACATCGTCGCAGCTTTTATTTGCTGTAAAATCTTTTTATCAGTTACGTAAAACTGTAAAGTTTTCATTCTATGAGTCAAGACAACGATAGGAACTTTTCCAGACATTCGAATTCTTATTATCTCAATGCATGTCATGAAATGTGTGTACATCACATCATTAAGATTGGAAATAGAGACTCTTCACCTATGCCTAGTTCATAAAGCATAGTGATTGCCTGATGATATTATGAAACAGATGACTATCTAATAACTTCAAGGCTTACTTACGAAATTATGTTTGTTTTTTAAATATCCAAGGTTTGGCAATATCAATGTTTGACCTGTTATACATTTTTAGAATCAGAACTTTATTTACCTATACAAAAATTCAATATGGCATCCATAAGGAAACATAAAGTTGCTGACTGTGGACAAGAGACGAAACGAATCTTGTAGAGGAGGAAAGGTAGCAATGTTAGTATACATTTACTTTCTAGGCCATTGGGCGAGAAAATATTGTATCTGAACTGTAGCGCAAAAAACATACGGACCTTGCACGCAACGGAAGTTGATTCGCTTCAGCGATGGCAGACAAATGTGAAAAGGGACAACGTTGCCATACGGTCGGTAACTACCAGTACGGCAGGGTAGTAATGTCTATGGCTGATTGTATCGGCCTGTTTGACTGACTCAATTCGTTTAATTTCTCTGTTGTACATGTTCGTATCTAAATTGCGCTGAACTTAATCCTTTATGAACTAAAATTGGGTTTTTTACATTCCCGGAAATAATCGGAGGTGTCATTTGCCTTTGCCCCTATTCAACCCACTCCGAATTTCTTACCATTTTTTAGATCACAATGGTGAGAGTGGAGTTATTCGAAACGCCCGGCATAGTAATGATATGTAGGCGGAGCCTGTTAACCAGGCCCTTTTTGGTCTTATTAAATAATGATGACTTAGTTTGTATAAACTAAGTCAAAAATGCTGTTAGAGGTCTTGCATGGGGAAATTCAGACTTTAAACGCTTCGGGTCAGCCCCCGACAACTTCTTAGTTCCTGTCACGAAATATATAATAAAATCGATTATGAACAAAATTGAGCTGAAAATTTTTGACATTAATGCGAACTCTTCACTCGCCTAGTAGCATTATCCACTTAAACCACAATTGCATCCTCCCTCCACAATAACGTCTATCCACTTGAGTGAACAGCTTGCAAGATGGACACGTGTTTGTATGTATGTCAATGTAATGCGGTTATCGGCCATTCAGAGTGCGACGAGCCTCCCTTTCTCTACGATAATGTACTTAGGCGCTCAATTCGGGGCGATTGCGCCCTAATGACGCGGCTGTCAAAGCCGAACGCTGACCTTGGAAAATTCCGCACGCTAATTTGATCTCTCCAGATCAAACAGCCGTAATTGTCCTAAATCAGACCCAAGATAAGTGTTGAGGCTACGTTGTCATGTCTACGAAATTGCCCTCTTCTTAACGATATCCATGCATAGTCGAGTAATCGCTCTACCGTCCAGTAGATTGTACATATCGTATTCCTGTTAATAGTAAGTAAGTAAATTGATTATTTACCCGATGTTTGGTAAAGAATAAGCATTCTATAATTTTATTTATGTCATTCAATCAACAGTGAGATGCTGTTATTTTTAATAAAATGCAAATTTAGTGGCTGTTACATCAATCTAGACGTTATGTCAGATTTGTGTCCATTCTTCAAGTATGGCGCGAATGCTTATGTTTCATTGATGCATTGTAAGATCAGGCCGCTAATACAGTGTTCGGACGCAAATGAAAAATTTATTATACAAGGGAAAGTAGGAGATTTTAGCTTGAGGTTGTATTGTCTCCAGACGCGCAGCAGAAGGAGGCAAAAAACCGTAGTATTTTTCCAGTGTATAATACATAATTTTTTTCTGCGACAGGTTAAACGACGATTTAATATTGAAAAATTATATTTTTACACTATTCAAGTCAGAGAATTATCGATGTGAAATTTGAATTTTGAAATTAGTAGGCTATGTTGTACTTATAGCGACAATTAGACGTTCGTTGCTAAATAAACTTTTGAAGTAATCAAGTAGCTGTCAATTTAATTTTGTGATTTGATTTAAAAATTGTGAACCTAGTGGTTGCTCAGAAGTTATTTATAATGACATAAAGTAGAAAATGTCTGATTCCGAGTTTCCTTTGAGTCCACCGGAATTAGTATAAGTAGCCAAAGTAGTGTCACAAAAATTATATCCAGCATGGAAATGCAAATTCTTTGTCGGAGACGGTGTTATTAGCTTATTTTTCGGAATTGGAACAACCACAAAAGCCATCAACGGTATGGTCTAATTATTCAATGATTAAAAGTATTTTACGATTCAAAAATAATGTAGACAAAATATTTCAAACTAATTACATTTCTGAAACAAAATGGGAGAGGTTACAAGCCCAAGAAAGTTGCAATTTTTACAAGTACACAAATTAGTGATTTTTTTGATAATGCTCCCGATGAAGTTTATTTAATGGCCATAGTTGTTGTTGTATTTGGGATTGCAGGAGCTTGTCGAATTTGTGAAATCAGCCAGGTAACATTAGATGATGTTGAAGATTCGGGAACGTTATTAATTGTGAAACTTAAGGAAACAAAGAATGATGTAAACAGGAGATTTGTAGTTACTGAAAAGTATACCTTTTAAATTTTGTACATACATAGCCCTTCGTCCAGCAGCAGCAAAGGTTCGCCGCCTGCTTTATGCATATCACAATGGAAAATGTATCAATCAGGTTGTGGGTAAAAACCAGTTTTATAAGGTTCCCGAAACAGTGGCTAATTTTCTTCAACTTGAAAATGCTAACTCATATACAGGTCACTCATTTCGAAGATCGTCTGCTACACTTTTAGTTGAATCTGGGGGAGACTTGATGACACTAAAGGAACATGGCGGTTGGAAATCATTAACGGTCGCTGAAAGGTATGTTGATGAATCGGTAGCACACAAGACAGAAATAGCTAATAAAGTGTTTAGAACGTGTGGTAGTGCTGAAATAATACCGGATTTGCGACCAAGTACATCAACGGGAGCTGTGATGGCAGAAAAACATATATTTTCAACACAAGAAAATTCGACTTTTGAACCGAATAGTTTAAGGAACGTGTCATTCATGCAATGCACATTTAATAATTGTACTTTTGATATAAAGGAAATGTAACTTTATTGTATAATAAAATATTCTAAATTGCTTATGTGTTTATACAGTAGCCGGGAAAAAAGTACTATTTTTTCCCCGGGGAGAAAAGTAATTTCATAAAAAGTGACAGTTTGTTACCTGTCAACAGAGATAAAATGTCAAACTTTTCCCGTCACAGAAAAAATAAGTTTTTGGCCCATATTACACAAATCATACGATTTTTCTCTAGTTTGAAATAACCTTTACAAGAAATCGGCCATATGCGTTAGATCCATTACTTGAAAGATGCCTGATTAGTAGTTGGATTTGTGTACCAGACGCTTATTTGCGCGCCGGCTTAATAAAATCGGGCCTTAGTGCCTTAACTGTTTGATGACGCTACAATCTGCTACCTACTCCTTACGTGAGGGACAGTGAACATTTGATCTACAAATCAAATGTCGACCATAATTGCTGCTACCCTGGATCCCTGGAATACCGTACCCACTGCCCAGAGGACTAATGCAAACAACTTATCTGCGGGAAAATGTTTCCTTAACATATTTTCTAAGGTTTGCTATTCGCATTTACCCCAAAGCAATTGACTTTACTTCCTATGCTAATGGCGAGGAAGTATTGTAACCGCAAAAATTTTCGTTAAAATGAGATATGTCTTTGGATGTTATATGATATCATGCCTAACGATCCGTTTGTCAGTCTGTCCGGTAATCCTTGACCTCTCTATAACTTGGGTAGAGCCAGTGGGATTTTGATGAAATTTCAATACAAGGAAACTACTGTAACAAATGCCAAAAACGAAAAAAGTAAAAATCGACGATACTTTTTTTTGCATTTCAGAAACACTTTTGCAGAGGTAATAAATTGGATGTTGGTGGTTTTAGAGGAAAGGTGAGAGTATATGTTCATTTTT